ACGCTCCGTGTCACTAGTTAAAATTGCTTATTTCTCTGGATTCAAACATTCTTCGAAACATTTGGGATAATGTAAATACACAAGTCAGCAAAATATATAACGCTGTTCTAGTGGTTTTTGGATATTTTAATAAAAAAAATAGTACATATTTTGCCTTTAATGCGTTTTCTCTGATTGGATAGCTATCTGATCATGAAAAGACCAGGTGTAAATGCCCTTCAAAATGCTTTCGAGACGCATTTCAATTCAATCACTCAAACCACACTTCAGGAGGAGGTCTGGACCGCATTCCTTAACCCCTCTCTGCTCGGCTGACTAAGCCACTCTTCAGCTGCCTTCAGCGTCTGCAGCAGCTGTGGTCTTCCCGGACTATAAGAGCAAATTTCCGGCGTTGTTGCAAATGCTGCTACTGTCGCTCGTGCAGGGCTCCCCTGTACGCCGCTGATGGTCACGGCGAGTGCGTTGCATGCTTGGGCACTGCCCACGCTGAAGCTGCACTTACCGAGACGGAATGTCCTCATTGCGAGGATATGAGTCTCACCTCTCTGCGCTCGTGGATAGCTTTCTTTTCAGAAAGCGACTCCGCCCCTCGCGCACTCCCACTTTCTTCTTCCTAGGAGCCTGTGAGGAAAAAGCAGCAAGGCAGAGGATCTCGGTGCTCGGTGACGAGTGAGCCCACACTGGCTGAGCCCCCGCGTGCCTCACTCTCTCCACATAGAGAGGCTTCCCCCATCCACTTCTCTCATCCGGACCAGCATCCGTCTGCGGCTGAAAGCGATCTGGTCTCATTCGGTGAGAGCGAGTGTGAACGCCATGGATGACAGTGTGTCTCTGGCTGCTTCAGATGCGGAGGAGCTGTCGGGCTCGTCCTTCGACCCCGCCCCCCTGCCGTCTGTGGAGCCCAGTGCTGCCAGCACGGGCATGGACGCTGAACTTTTCCATGTCTTGTCTAAAGCTGTGCAAGAGCTGGGTTTGGATTGGTCTCCGCCGGAGGAGCCCACCCGCAGCCACCTGGATGAATGGTTATTGCCGGGGTGCCATCAAGCCCCTCGACAACGAGCTTCACCGTTCTTTCCAGAAGTTCATGATGAAATCACCAGATCTTGGCACGCCCCTTACTCGGCCTGCCTGCGTGCCTCCTCTTCGTCCACCCTCACAACGGTCGACGGCGCTGAAGAAAAAGGGTATGACAAACTACCTCCCCTGGATGAGTCAGTGGCCACGCATCTCTGCCCGCCCACGGCCATCGGCTGGAAGGCGAAGGCCGCCCACACATCCAAGCCATGTAGGATGACTTCAGCTCTCGCTGGAAGGGCCTATTTGTCTGCTGGACAAGTGGCCCCGGCGCTTCACTCTATGGCGGTCCTACAGGTCCTTCAGACCAAACTTCTCCAGAATATGGACGAGTCTGTACCGGACCCCGCAGCTTTCAAGGAGCTGCGCAGCGTGACCGACCTGGCTTAATGCGCCACCAAGATGACAGCTCAGGCGATTGGCAGATCCATGGCCAGCCTTGTGGTGCATGAGCACCACCTATGGTTGACCCTCACGGAGATCAAAAATGCAGATAAAGTCCCCTTCCTCGACTCCCCGGTCTCCCCCTCTGGCCTGTTTGGACCTGCGGTGGAAGGGTTCGCGGAGCGCTTCACCGCTGCACAAAAGTCGTCCCAGGCAATGTGACACTTATTGCCAAAGTTTGTGGTGGATACTGTTGTGAACTCTGGGCCCGTTCAGTTAGCGCCCACACAATCGGTTTTCAACATTTTCAAAAAGAGAGCAAAATTCCTCTTCCGCTTATCATGATCGTAAGGTCCCCGCATGGTGGCCTGTAGCTTGAACCAACCCAACCCCTTGCCACAAAGGCCGAGGCCTGGCAGGCCATCCCCGGAGTGTCAAAGTGGGTTTTGGGGATAATAGAACGAGGTTATTCACTTAAATTTGCTTGAAGACCCTCGCAATTCAGTGGCATGGTCTCCACCTCAGAGTGAGTCAGGCTTCTACAGCTGATATTTCCTCGTCCCCAAAAAGGATGGCAGCCTAAGGCCCATCCTTGATCTCAGACACCTGAACCGCGCTCTCATGAGACAGCCATTCAGGATGATTACATTGAAGCAGATCCTCTCGCAAGTGTGCCCAGGGGACTGGTTCTTTTCACTGGTTCTGAAAGATGCCTACTTTCACATCGAGATAGCCCCCCGCCACAGGCGATTCTTGAGATTCGCCTTCGAGGGAGTGGCATATCAATACACGGTCCTTCCCTTCGGACTGTCCCTAGCTCCTCGCACTTTTACGAAGTGCATGGATGCAACTCTTTCCCCGCTGAGACAGATGGGAATCCGCGTTCTAAATTATCTCGATGACTGGCTCATCCTGGCCCAGTCAGAGAGCGAGCTATAATCCCACAGATCCTTCCTCCTCAGCCACTTAGAGTGCCTGGGACTCAGGGTCAATTTCGCCAAGAGTGAGCTGTTCCCCAGCCAACAGATATCGTTCCTGGAAACAGTTCTCGACCCAGCCCAAATGAGGACAGTAGTCGCGCCCGATCATGCACTGGCTATTCGGCAGCTCGCGGCCTCATTCAAAGTTGGAGCCCTTCACCCTCTCAAGGCATTTCAGAAGATGTTTGGCCTCATGGCCTCTGTGTCTCCAGTACTTCAGCTGGGCCTGTTTCGCATGCGGCCCCTTCAATACTGGCTGAAACCACGAGTTCCATCCCACGCCTGGCGTCACGGACGCATGCGTGTCAAGGTGAACCGGGCCTGCAGACATCCCCGAGAGCGTGCTAAACACAATATCTCAAGCTAGAGCACCCTCTGCAAGGCAGCTCTATGCCCTTAAATAGTTTGTATTCTCCGCCTGGTGTATGACCCGCGGCACATACTCAATTTCATGTGACATATCGCTGATATTGACCTTCCTGTAGAGCTGTTGGATAAGGGTCACTCCCCTTCCACACTCAACGTCTATGTAGCAGCCATAGCAGCTTCACACGCTCCTATAGCTGGCCAGTCTGTGGGCAGGAACAACCTAGTTGTTCGCTTTTTGAAGGGGTCTAGGAGGCTCAACCCACCTCGCCCTGTCACCGTCCCTACATAGGATCTGCCCACGGTGTTGAGGGCCCTGAAGAGCCCTCCTTTCGAGCCGCTACAGTCCGTTGACCTTCGTCCCCTGTCACTAAAGACCACTCTGCCGACCATTCGGCGCTTCCTCCTTCATAGCAGGACCAAAAGCTGAATTTACTCTGCTCCGTCAGGGCATTGAGAATATATTTTAAGCGTTCCGCCCCGTTCAGGCAGTCGGACCAGTTTTTGTATGCTTCGCTGACCGCACCAGAGGGTCTCCGGTCATGAAGCAGAGACTTTCCAAATGGATAATTGACGCTATCTAGCTAGCTTACTCTTCTTTGGGCCTGCAATGCCCCATAGGAGTAAGAGCCCACTCAACAAGAGGGGTTGCCTCTTCCTGGGCTTGGTCTAGCGGAGTGTCCATTGCAGAAATTTGTGTGGCGGCTAGCTGGACCTCGCCGTCCACATTTACCAGATTTTATAATCTGGATGTCCCGGCCTTACAGGCTTGTGTCCTTTCTGCTTAAATGGATTTACTCTGGCCTTATGGCAAAACCAGTGCTCAGGTATTTGCTTTCTCTGTTCGCTCTTGGCCCCCACTGGGTTCCGAGGCTGTACAATTTATCTTAGAAGGATTATTCAGTGCCGGGCCGACCTCTGTGAGTTTGGCCCTATCGCCTCTTGCAGGGCTTATCTGCAATTACTTGGTCCCTCTGGGCCCCCTTTGGTGCTCAAGGCAGGTTCAAGCATTGGTCATTCCTCTAGCATAGCACGGCGGGATTGTACTGGTTCCCCATAGCGTCTTAGCAGACGCAGTACGAGTGAAGTTTCGATAGGGAACATACTCGGTTACTAACGTAACCTCGGTTCCCTGAGATACGGGAACGAGTACTGCATTGCTGGCCATGCTATGTAGCTGCACGACTCAGTCGTCGCTTCAGTCGAAGTAACCTGAGGATCCTATAGTGAAGTGCACGCTTATATAGCCAGATGCCCTGCCCATTTTGGCGGGCTGTGTTGCCATAGGCTCGTGCAGCTCGGCTGCCGAGCCATTGGTTTATTTTTAATACACTGCACGAACCAATGGCCGTGCAGTTACACTGCGTTATTTAAAGGCTTCAGTATTCTGAGAAAAAAGAGTTTTCCCCATAGTGTCTTAGCAGATGCAGTACTTGTTCCCATATCTCAGGGAACCGAGGTTACGTTAGTACGTTTTTGAAGAGTGCTTAAACTAGGCTGAAGTCAGTCATAATGTTCTTTGACAATGTAAATGTTTTTTGTTTGCTTTCTCTGTATAATTTGCTGTTTGAATAACTGTGGAAGGTACAGGTAATAAAAAAATTCATTAATACCTCATCCGTGCACATCCTCCTTCATAGCGTCATCAAGCTTCGCCTTTGTTATTGGTTTGAAAATGCGACCTCTAGTGGCGAAAACTTACATATTGTGCCTTTAATGCACGCTTTGTTTGATTATTACAGAATGCAGCTGATATGATGTTTGTATGAAATTACAGTGTAAAAAAATACCTGTTGTTTCATCTAAATCAGAGGTCCTCTGAGAAATAGGGTCACATCCAGATTACAGATTGTGTTTTGTTTCTTTGTTTTTGTACGACTTTACCTTATTTATTTTGACCTTCATCTAATATTGTACCTAAAGTTACATTTCTTGTTGCGTTCCTTGGTGCAGCTTTATTATTAAATGAAAACCGTTGGCTTGATAATTTCCAAATAAAAATAGCTGGTTTGGCACAGTTGAAATTACATAAATCACAGATTGCTCAGATTAATTGTAATTATGTGACATACATAAATTAGAAATGAAATGATACACTTCCACTGACAAACTGTAATTCAGTGATTTCTAATCCCATCCATAGTGCTTTACGTGAGAGCTCATTTCTAAACATGCTGTTAGCAAGAGTCTTTTCAGTGTTTCTCTTTTGTCTAAAGCAGGTTGTGAATGCTCTTTTAGTTGGTGTAATTGTGCTGTTGTCTTTACTCCCTGTGACCGGGATCTGTGTGTGTGTGTGTGTGTGTGTGTGTGTGTGTGTGGGAGTGTATGCGGGGGGGGGCAGAGAGCGGGGTGTGTGAACATAAATTATACTGATTATAATTGCATGAATGGTATCATTGTCATCTCTTACCGAATATTCTCATTCGTAGCATTTAGCTACTCCATCTTTACAAGCAACAATGTTATTCATCCATTTGCAAACCTTAATTATTCCAAACTTTAGTGTGTATATGTGTGTCATCTATTTATGATTTCTTGTGGAAAGGTAAGAAAAACAAGCTGAGGCTGTACTACCTGTCCTGGCTGAGGAATAAGGTCTTGCGTAATGATCCGGAGGTGGAGAAGAAACAGGGCTGGACGTCAGTGGGGGAACTGGAGGGATGTGTGAGCTATAAAGTGGGTGAGTCCAGAACAAGATAACATTCACGTGTTTAACATACTAAACATTATAATTATAATAGACTGCATGGAAACTCCTAGTGAACTTAATCTAACATACCAGAGGAGAATGCAAACTGACTACCTGATGAGCAGAAACTCTGGATAAAAAAACATCTATCAAGTGCAATCAGAATTACACACGATAATAGTGCAGATTCAGATTTCAGTGTCATAACTAGCCAGTTCTGCTCTGGTGAAAATCATGCAGGTGGAACGCTTTGATAAATGTCTTCCTTCAGTGTCATCACTGTAAGTCAGTGTTTTCGATGATCTTGCACTCCGTACTCACATAATGCTGATGATTTCAGTTCGCTATGAAAAAATCAAGTTCCTGGTCATCGCCTTGAGGAGCGCTGTGGAGGTCTACGCCTGGGCTCCCAAACCGTATCACAAGTTCATGGCTTTCAAAGTAAGTCTTGCATATTAGTAGCGATTAATAATGTATCACATTTACAAAAACAACGAAGCACCTGCACTAAACCCTAATCCAATAACTGATAACCAATATTGTTAACTCAAAGCAAATGTGAGAAAAAAAGCATGTGCTGAAGCAATCAAGCCAATTTTAGCTTCCTTCTATGAGGTTCTGAGCTCTTCCATCATGGCCTGTGTTTGACGGTACTCCAGCGCTTCACATCACTAGTGCAGTGCTGTACCGGGTGCGCTACCGAGCTCGTTTACTACGCCGGAAAAGCCACACATATGGAGCTGGTTATGTGATGCAAACATCAAACTGTGTTAGTTTACAAATAATGCACTATGGTAAAAGTGTTCAGAGCTCATAACAGTGTTGTGCGAGTAACCACACAAGAATAAGTCTTCATTAATCAATAATCTGCCACTGTAATCATAATTTGTGTAAAAAGCTACAAAAGCTGATGGTGTTTATTTCAGCTGGACTGCAGTGAGATGCATGTATAGGTGTGTTTCTGCAGTTTAGCAGTAATGTAGGAGATACAGGGGATTGAAATATAAAGCTCTAATAATGCGGTTTCTGAGATTCACTGTACCAGTTGCTTTGGATCATGGCTAAAGAGTCTGTTACAGTCACAACTAGCACACTTTCCAATGTGATATTTCTAATGACCTGCTATTCATGTTTATATATTCTTCCATTGTGACAAATAGGATGGTGTAATGATAGGTAATGTAAGTGGGGTGTATTTGGAAATGGGTCATTTTTGAGTGCGTGTCCTACTTCACTGCGGTCCTGAGAGACTTACTCTACTTCTGGCATCAACTTCTGCCATTTAGACTTATAGCATTTGCTCAGATTGTCGTCCTGCATATGCTTATGGAAATACAAACAGTGCATGTTAGGGTTTAATGACTAAATGTGGTTAAAAATCGGTGCTGTTAAAAAAGTTAAAAACTTTTAGAAGTTTCTTCAGTGGCAGTGTGCATCATATTGTCTCCCCTGAAACACACAACAAATAAATGAAGTGTGCGCCTAAGCAGGAGTAATAGTATAGATAATTAAAAAAAAAATCTATATCCGTGTCAGTGTACATATTGCTCAGATGGACATCTTGCATCAGTCCTGTCATAAAATAGTAGAACTGCAAACCTGAAATATCAAAGCACTCAAAGGCATTGTGTTTGATCATTATGTGAAGACTCGAGCCCTGTTTACAATCACAGGCCACTTACCCTACTGGTGGTTATGAACCATGCTAAAAATTAACACTATATAGTCATTATATGCAGAAATATGCATGCATAATTATGACCTGTCATTGTTTTCTTGAAAGAGTTACTTTCAGAGCTCATAACGTCTTGTGCAGTCCATTAATTGAATCTGAACCGCAAAAGCACCTCTAAGATCCTCAAAGGCTGTTCTCACAGCGTCAGTGTTGGAGGTTGACAGCTGTATTTATGAACGGTACTGTTCACAGCACTGGAGTCACTACAGTATAAATCAATGTTCTCACATCAGGTGTGAATATGTCATGTAATCAGAGATGACAGTGTGTGTGTGTGTGTGTGTGTGTGTGTGAGTGAGAGAGAGAGAGAGAGAGTGTGCGTGTGTGTGTGTGTGTGTGTGAGTGAGTGTGTGTGTGTGAGAGTGTGTGTTTGTGTGTGTGAGAGAGAGA